GGGATCTTAAAACAACACCTAAATGATGAATCTATGAATCTAGAATCAGAATTGTTCATTAAATTGTTTTGTAAGTTCCCTAAAGATTGATCAACTAATTTATTCCAGCTCTAAACACAGACAAGGGCTATTAAACCATGATAAATTGAAAGTGTACTGATTTACTGTTGTCTCTCTTTTCCCTATAAATCAGAAACTACTACTAACTCTGGCTCTTTTGCCTTGGCATCCCTGAAAATAAATAAATAAATAAATAAAATAACATAGTTCTTTCTGGAAACTTTCTAGAACACTACTAAGAATTTACAGACCAGTAAAATAAAATGTTATTGTGCAGGGTACTTGGAGGTGACACAGTACATAACACAAAGCTCAGAGAGAGTGTGACTCATTGACTAGTCTGTGACCCTCTGCTGTTTTTAACTCTCTTGTGCAGGTGGAAGTATTTCGGGAGCCGTCTTTAACCCCGTCCTGGCCTTCTCCATTCAGTTCCCCTGCAGCGGCCACACCTACCTGGAGTACTGCTTTGTATACTGGCTGGGGCCAGTTTTGGGTAAGCAGCGGCCGAGGTGGTGGATTTTTCTATTTTTGGACAGCGCCAGGCTAACTGTTCCCTCCTGTTTGCAGTCTTTATGCTAAGCTAAGCTAACCAGCTGTAGCTTTGTATTTACTCTACAGATGTGAGAGTGGTGTCAAAGTTCTTATTTAACTCTTGGTAAGAGAAAATGAGTGCATTTACCAAACAACTCCTGCAAGGACACATAAACACAACACAGAATGAAGTGTTTCCTGTTGTGACTGACTCACTGCTCCTGTCACCACTTCATATCAGAGCACTGAGGCCATGCTTAAAGGCTCGCAGTGTTATGTTAAATATGAAGATGGCTGTCCTCTACATTTGTCATTATTGCTGTTTTTACCATTTGTAAATCAGTTACTCCTCACGCGTCACATTTAATTTGTAAAGAAAACTATGATTTTTTTTTTTTACATGCCTCCACAGTGAACGAAGAATCCAAAAACATAGAAAATTCTTGATGATTATTTTTTATTTTTTTATTTCTTTGCAAAGATTTGGTGCAGGAGCAGTTCCAAAAATGTGTCAGGTTTCCATTTGTGCAATTGAAAATCTTATTTTAAAAAGAATAAGTAAACGGCAAAGGTAGAAATCTGGCAAAAAAAACAACAACAACAAAAACATACAAAGAAAAAAATATTTAAATTAAATATAAGGATACTTTTTCTTAAACATATACAGAGAGGGTGTACTAAAACTAAATCTTAGGACCTAGGACCTACAAACATTTATTAATAAATTCACGAATGGATCCGAAATGATCAAAGTTGGGAAAGAAAAGCAAGTTGTTCAGCGTCAACCCCCCACCGCTGTATGGTTCTCCATTTTTTATCATTTATAGGAATAAAATGTTGATGAATTTAGGTCATAGCTGGCCGCTTTCAACAGCAACAAAACTACATCAAAACATGCGTTTAAAAACTCTTACACAACTTATGCAGTATAATCCAAGTGTCATTTATCCTGTCATATGCTAAGTGCTTCCCAATCAGACTTCACCATTTGAAACGCTTCCGCATAAACAGTTGCACATACAGACAAGTACGGCCCCCGGGCACGTGTGTGTGTTTGAACTCTGCTCAGTGGAAAACATGAGCAGAGTTCAAACACACACGTTTCCCCATGCAGAGATGCATTTGTTTGACTGGATAAATGAGACGTGGATTATACAGCATGACAAGGTCTTGTTTCAACATTGGGATGGACAGATATGAGATTGTGCCTTGAATGTCTTTTATATTT